AAACTGCGAGCCCGGGGTGCCATCTTTCGCTGGTAGTTCGCGTAGTCTTTGTCCACCTCAGAACGCAAGGGGCATGTGGATTCTACATTGAAGAGTGTAAGGTTTTTGAGGGGTAGGCTTAGGGGTTTTACGGTTTTGGGGTCCAGATGCAGGGCTCTGGGTGCAGAGGATGAATGAGCCAGAGAATTCTTCAAATACCAACCCTGTGCCAGCAACCCTGAACGCCTTAAACCCTAAACCCTAAACCCTAAAACCCTGTAACCCTAAACCCTAAACCCTAAACCCTAAACCCTAAACCCTAAACCCTAAAACCCTAGACCCTGAACCCCACGGTGGATGTGGACTCGGGGTTTGGTCCCTGAATTGCTTGGAACATCCTGAATGATTCGAGGCTTTATGTTCCTTGAGTCCTCGACCTTAAAACGCACATCCGGAAATCACTTAGATGAATCGAAAACGTAGGGTTCTGGGGTTCTGTCAAAGCCAGAGAGCACCAAGCCCTACTCCCCTAATCCCGGAACTACGAACTTTCTACCTGTTGCCATTCAAGATCTGGAAGATGAACTTCTGCGCACATTTTCAAGTCACCACCCTAACCAGCCCTCCATTCTGTGCAGGCCACCGTTTTCGCTTTGGAGGAAGCATCATCCGCCGCAGCATCGATCTGCCATGTACGAGTGCTGTCGGGCGCATTGAGGGTAAACACTCCCTAACCCTAAGCGCCCTAAACCCCTGATGCCCAACAAAACCTCCATGGGAACGGCGCTGGATTCTTGTTGGCGGCATTCAAACTTAGCAGGTAGCGCGGATTCGACGACCTTGTCCAGCTCATCGAAACCTGTGAGCGCTGTCGGTTTAGGGCTTAAGGCTTATGGTCAAAGATGAGGAACTGTGAACTCTGTGTATATATATATATATACTCAGCAGTTAAGGTACGCATGTCTCTTGTCAAGGGCATACTGCGCCAGGCATAGTTCGACCCTCCATTGTCAAGGACTTTCGACCCATGCCCCCGCCCTCTTCCCCGTAGACTCCTGACACACGTGAGCCTGGGGGCATCCTCCAGAACTCAACAGGTCATGATTTTTCAAAGCGGGGTATGAATTACTCCGCTAGCAGGCGTAGGGAAAACGACGCTTGCCGGCACAGTGCGAGTCTGCAGTATCTGCATGCTAAGTAACATGCCCCGTATGTCGAAACTTTCGGAGGACCCATGGGTTTAGGGTTTAGGGTTTAGGGTTTAGGGGTTAGGGCAATGTGGAGAAGGCTTCTTGTAAGGAGTCCCCAACTAGTACCTTCAGGCCAGCCTTCAGATAAGCCGTATCAACACCGCGGGAGATCCTTCCTTAGCGCGCCTGTCTTTGAAGGATCCGTCTTACTCTAGGTCTCAGGTGCAACCTCTAGGAATCCCCCACTGAACCCCCCCAACTCCAAAAACCGACTGTCTTTTACAGGGGAGCAGGGCCCACAGAGCCTGCAAAAGTTTCGGACTATGGGCTTGCAACATATCCTCGATTCTTGAAACTAAAACCTAAACCCTAAAGCCTTCGGGGCTGAGGGACCCTAAACCATAAATCCTAATCCCTAAACGCTAGCTCCATGCAAACCCCTTGCCTGAGTCTTTCCACACCCTGGCTGGCCTTTAGCTGGACGAAGGGTCAAGGGTTTAAGGCATAAAGGCTTTGCGTTCGGGATGTAAGACCAAGAAATAAAGACCCCAAGGGTGGACTCGCAGCACCATATTATGGAGTTGGGCACCCAGCCGACTCCCAGAAAAGGACCGGACTACATTACCACCCACATTGAACCCTAGTCCTCGATCTGCAGACCCTAGACACTACATCTGCGTTGCTAAACCTTAAGCCCTAAACCCTAAACCGCAGATCTACAAACGAATTCTCTCAAAATGGCCAAGCCTTCTGTGGCTGTCTTGTACACGTACTTGGCCTCACCTTGGCCGCACCGTGGCGTAGGATTTAGGGTCTTGATCCCCAAAGCCCCTAAAACCTCAGAGGGCGTTGATGGGCTGAAACCCTGGTCTCTGACACCATGATCTCGCCAATCACAGAGTCATCTCATCCTCAAACCCTAACCTCTTCAAGGTACCCTTCGATAAGGGTCACAAAGGGTACCTCAACTGTGAATTTCGGGCATCTCCAAAAGATTTTGGGGAATCCAGACCTACTACTACTGGTACAACTAGGACACCCCACTAGTAGTTCAAGCACTGCTGTTGCTGCTGCTCTGCTGCTCCTACTACTACTACTACTACGACGACGACGACTACTACTTCTAAAACTACTACTAGAATATACTACAAAAACTACAAAAGCTATTACTACAAAAACTACTTCTGCAAAAACTACTAGTACTAGTACTAGTACTAGTACTAGTACTAGTACTAGTACTACTACTACTACTACTATTATTACTACTACTACTACTACTGCTACTACTACTACTACTACTACTAGTACTACTAGTACTAGTACTAGTACTAGTACTAGTACAACTACTACTACTACTACTACTACTACTACTACTACTACTACTACTACTACTACTACTACTACTACTACTACTACTACTACTACTACTACTACTACTACTACTCTACTACTACTACTACTACTACTACTACTACTACTACTACTACTACTACTACTACTACTACTACTACTACTACTACTACTACTACTACTACTACTACTACTACTACTACTACTACTACTACTAACTACTACTACTACTACTACTACTACTACTACTACTACTACTACTACTACTACTACTACTACTACTACTACTACTACTACTACTACTACTACTACTACTACTACTACTACTACTACTACTACTACTACTACTACACTACTACTACTACTACTACTACTACTACTACTACTACTACTAGGGTTGCGCGCCTCAGGGCGCCTGGTGCTTTGGGGTGTGTGAGGTGCTGGAAAGCATAGTTTTTGCGATGTATTTGGACATGTGTGTAAAAAGTCTCAAAACGCGAAGATCGCGCTAACTAATTTTAAGCCCGAAATCGAAGCCCGAAACGCGAAACCCGACAAAAAACCCTCAACCCTAAACCCTAAACCGTAAAACCTAGGTCAAAGGACTTTTGGGCTTGCACTTGAGGGTTTGGGGTTGAGGCTGTACTTTTGGGCTTTTTCTATGGGGTTTGGGGTTTAGGGTGTAAGGTCAAAGGACTTTTGGGCTTGCACTTGAGGGTTTGGGGTTGAGGCTGTACTTTTGGGCTTTTTCTATGGGGTTTGGGGTTTAGGGTGTAAGGTCAAAGGACTTTTGGGCTTGCACTTGAGGGTTTGGGGTTTAGGGTGTAAGGTCAAAGGACTTTTGGGCTTTTTCTATGGGGTTTGGGGTTTAGGGTGTAAGGTCAAAGGACTTTTGGGCTTTTTCCATGGGGTTTGGGGTTTAGGGTGTAAGGTCAAAGGACTTTTGGGTTTTTTCCATGGGGTTTGGGGTTTAGGGTGTAAGGTCAAAGGACTTATGGGCTTGCACTTGAGGGTTCTTCCTCACGCAGTCTTGTCTGAAACACTCGCAAGAGTATTGCCACCTACAAGGATGGACTGTTTCATTGGCAGCGGCACGAGAGACATCATGGCTCAGTCAGGGAAATTCACGAGCCCGGACGTACCCAACCCCCCCCCCTCCCCCTCCCCCCCCCCCCACCTTCCCCCCCAGCGGCAGGAAAAGACCAGGCGCCAGGAAGCGCGCATGGCTACTACTACTACTACTACTACTACTACTACTACTACTACTACTACTACTACTACTACTACTACTACTACTACTACTACTACTACTACTACTACTACTACTACTACTACTACTAACGACGGCGACGACGACAAACCCTACACCACAGACCCTGAACGCCCCACACTCCAGCGAATGCTGCCACAGGCGCCATGCTTGCGTCCGGCTTCGGAATTCAACTCCTTTCCGGGTTCAGGGCTTAGGGTTTTGGGCTTCGGGCCTTGAAATCCCCTGTGGGGCGCTTAGGGTGGAGGGTGTAGGGCTGAGGGTTGAGGGATCAAATCATGTTTTGGCCAATGGCTTGCAGGCTATGGAATGTGTATACTCTGGGTTCACAGGGTTTTGGGTTTGGGGCTTTGGGGCCTTTGGGTGTCGTGATTTGTCCCGATAGATTTTGCCGTGGATCAGATGGCAGCCAGTTCGAGCTGCCGATCCGGAAATCACTGAACTTAGGACCAGGGATTTATGTGTTGGGGCTCCAAAGCGCCAGCAACTGGGTTTGGGGTCTATCTGCGGGAGTCCAAGCCCTGTGACTAAACATTTTTGAAGGTTGTGGACCCCGAAGTCTGATTTCGCCTTGGGCTTGGGGTTGCGTAGCTGCGGGTGTAGGGGCCCATGCCGACCTGGTCCTCGCCGCCCTCGCTTTGGTCTTCACCACCCGCACCTTTCTCCTCTGCAAGATGCTAGAGGTTGTAAACCCAACAGCCCAAACCCCGTTTTTTTTTCGCAGGTCCCACGAGGCCTGCCCCCAAAAGGGCAGCCCCCCTAAGAATATTTGGGGGTAGCTTGTGGGGGGGGGGGGGGGGGGCGGCTTGGGGAACCTTTGTTTTTGAACGGGCCTTCAACACACAAAACCTCTCCGAAAGTAAAAGAGCAACGATTCGGGGGTCTAGGTGGCAGTGGGTAGAAGTCTTGGAGCTCAACAAAAACCTGAAACCCCCGAAAACAAACTACCGCCTTCTAGTGCTTCCCAACACAGAGGGCAGGGGTTGAAGTCTGAAGGGCTGATAGTGGGCTGAGGTGCGAGGTTTAGGGTTGAAGGTTTAGAGTGTAGGGTTTGGTGAAAGGTTCAGGGCTTATGTGCCTGGTGTTGTGGGGGCGAAGCCAGGATGGATTCGTGCTGAGAGTCGGGCCCAAGAGGGCACAGGCACAGGGTGTACCCGCGGTGCCCCTTTCTTGCTTTCGCTCTGGTCTTCTTGTTCCGGAGCTCAGTAGTACTACCCGGAAAAGTTTCCTTTGAACCGGTGTTCGGACTCGAAGGTTCCGAGCTCGGACCCTTCACGTTGTACACTTAGAGGGCTCCCTGAATATCCTCCCACCATGCCATGGCTCCTATCATCCTTGGTAGCCCGGTAACCATCTGACAATAAGGGCACGCTTTTTTTTGGCTCGTGATTTCATAAGGGAACCCATGACATAACAAAAAAAGGGTAAAGGGTACCACTGAGCCACCAAGCATCCCTAAACCTAAAACCCAAAACCCAAACCCTAAGCAAGGAGGGGTGGGGGGCTCCTCATTGCTCTCCACTTTGCCCTGCGCATCCGCGCTCTTCACCTCTCACCGCATCAGAGCAAGCCCCAAACTCAAAAATATTGGGGCCTCAAAAATCAAAATCGGGTAGTTTGGGAGGGGGGGGGGTTCCTAAAGTATAGTTATACAGAAAAATCATTTTATTTCGAACATCCCCACCTTAGGAATTTGGATTTTTTGGCCGTCCTGCGCCCTTGGGCAGGGAGTCTCTGAGGCTGGGCACTCCAGGGAGTCTCTGGGGTTGGGCACTCCAGGGAGTCTCTAGAAATAGACCAGGCGAGGAGAAGAGTTGAGTTTGAAATCTAACAACCCAACACACCGAAGGTGGGGCACAAGGGAATACTGTTTGTAATTCTTCCGACCCCAAAATTAAGCCTTAAACTCCAAACCCTAAACCTACATAGGGGTAGTGAGGGCTTTAGGGTTTAGGGGAATTTGGGCTTTGGAAGGCCTCGCTTCAGAAACTTACCCCCTAAAGGGACCCTAGCTTCGGGGAGTGAACATACCAGGATGGGCTACTAGGCCTGATAATCCATAATCAACCCTAAAAAGTGCCCTTTAAGAAGGTTATAGGGTATAGTGTAATACAGCCCATGGCTGTGTGAACGCAGCACCGCGTAGCCTTTGGTGGTTCACTGTCGCCGCCGCTCCTGTGCCTCAAACAGGGGCGCCCTAAACCCTAAACCCTAAACCCTAAACCCGAAACCCTAAACCCTAAATCGTAAACCCTGAACCCCGGTTTGGTCGAAGGTGATCTTGCTTTTTAGGTTGACTGACTTGAGTAGGACTACCTGCTTGATTGAAATACCCTTCCAGGTTCCCCTGCGAATTAAGCAGAAAGGCTATCCCATCCTGATGCGAATACACCTCAAATCTGCGTGTGGTTTCGGTGGATTGCGTACTGTCTTGCTCTTGGGGGGCCCCGGCCCCTAAATTTCTCGTGGACCTGAGCAAACAGGTAGGGTTTAGGATTTAGGAGCTTCGCCTGTGGGCACTCACTCGCTGCAGATAAAGAAACAACATTGCCATTTCAAGAAAACGGCTTCCCCACAGGCGGTGTTAGGGTAGGCACTGGAGCAAATTGTGGGTCTGTGCTTTGGAAGATACCCCACCTCATTCGGGGCGACAGAAAAGGGAGCTGAACCTTCCCTGTCCCCACTTGGCTCAAGTTTATGGAGGGCCTATGCTTAAGACATACAGCGCTGCATCCCAGAAGTCTCAGTGACTGGCCAGGAAGCGCTGCCTGCAGGGGCCATTTCATGCAGGCTCATCGGCTTAAGTAGGGGGGGGGGGTGCGTGGGTTGTTCCACCCTTTTCTTGCATTATCTAAGCCTAGGCCTTTACCAATGGGTGCTTTCGACCCTGAAACAGAAGCTTGAGTTTAGGGAAACATCTTGAGCGAATGGGGAGGCCTAGAGCAAAGAGGGACGGTGAAAAACATTTTCCATTCGGGCTTTTTTAGGGTTCCTGCTGAGATCCACGTATAGTGCTGTTGTGTCCTCGGCTTCCAAAACCCTAGACAGAGTGGTTGTTCGGTGGCCTTTTTTTGTGTAACAGCACTATAAGCGGACCCTCTCTGTGCCGTTTGGTGCTCAGACTTTCGGGGGATGTTAGCTCAAAGCTCACATCTAGGGCTCCGGGTCCAGTGCTATGGTACCCCAACCCAAGAGTTACCACAGACCCCATCGACTCTCACATGACTACCTTCGAGGAGTGTAGGAGTTGGGGCAACACGCGGTTCTTCTACCCTACACCCGTAAGCTCAAAAAAATGCTGAGCGGGACAGGCTAGAGGAGCTTTCTTTCCTGCAACGATGCGATGCACGGAAGGGCAGCTCTTCAGGGCTTAACGCTTCTGGGGTTTGAGAGGGTGCATGGTCTGATCTTCCGATTCTCCCATGTTTTGGCCCCCAGAGACCTACTTACTGGATCCTCTTAAGGGGTTCTATATACTACTATTTGCTTAAGAACCCCAAAAGAATGTAAAATAATCATCCCTATATTACAACTAATTTGTAGTATAGAACTTATTTCGGATTTAGGGTGCCATGGTTGATCCTTCGGGTTTTCGCATTCTGTAACCATACGCCACCTGTCATCACTAAGCTGTGAAACTCATGGCCGAGCATCGGAACCGGAAACGCCGCGCTGCTGTCAGGGGAACAAAAGGCCCCAACGAGGTTCCCCTGTAAGCTAGCAACTAAACGTGGGAACTTCCGTTTACGGGGTGTAATGGTACGGGAAGCGGTCCGAGACACCAATAACTAAATCCTAAATACACTTACCCCATGAGACTAAACAAAGAGAGCAGGAAAACAACTCAAGCTTAAACCCGACAAACGCAACAAAGAAAAACAAGGGTGCCACTGGGGAAGCGGGGTCATGGGCTCCATCCCCTGCTGCAAGGTTGCACAGATGGTGGGTTCAGTCATCAGGGCTTCAGGTTACCCGAAAGCCTAAACCCTAAACCCTAAACCCTTAATTAACCCTTAACCCCTAAACCCTAAAAGGGTCGCAGAGCACCCAATTGAGGCCTAGGTTCTCCTGTATCCTGGGAGGAGACAAGGTACCGATGGCCCCTAAACCAAAAACCCTAAATCCCAACCAGACCTGTAACCCTAAACCCTGAACCCTAAACCGGACACCCTGAACCCATCCACCCCTACCCAAAATGACCCTTGGGATGCACGGCCTTCATATGACTTTCCGTTTAGAGCCTCCGGCTTTTGAGGTGGAGGGTTCAGGGTTTAGGGTTAGGGGTCTAGGGTTAAAAGCTTAAGGTTAGGCTTTTTTTGGAAACAGACATTCAAGCGCTGCATTTCGCGACCTTTAGTGTCACCAGGCCTGGGCACGCACATGGGGACGACTGGAACCAAAGCTGCTATGGCACGCCGAGCGAGCAGCAAGGCGTAAGCATACCCGAGACCCTAAATCTCGAAACCCCAAACCCTAAACCCCTAAACCCCAAACCCCCTACACTCATCCAACTGTCGAAGCGGCTTCTGTGCTTGCCGGGTCCGTCCGTATAGTTATCCTCAAAACCCAACCAATGAATCCTAATGAGGAACTGGGGTTTTTTAGGGTTTAGGGTTTAGAATTTAGGGTCTATGGTTTAGGGTTTTATGATTAAGGGTTTATGGCCAGGGTTCAGGGTTTAGGGGTTGTCGGGTTTAGGGTGATGCTGGTCATGACTTAGGCCAGATCACCAAGTGCTCAGGCGGAGGCTTCGGCAAAAGCCCTCAGTAATCACCGCGCGGAAATCAGTCCTCGGACAGTACGGGGGTGGGGGGTGGGGGCGGCTTGAGTATTCGGTCTTAGGTTGAGGAGTTTAGGGTTCAGGGTTTAGGATTTAGGGTCTTAGGTTGAGGAGTCTTCTGGGGTAGGTGTGGGGGGCCTCATTTCTGGCTTTATAAGAACTTTGTATAATTCGAGGTTAAGGGTAATAAACATGAAAACATATTCATACGTTCAAACCTAGCCCTGTCTTCTTCATAGGCCCATACACATGGTCCTGGAAACATGCATCAGGGTGTCAAGATCGATGTAACTGAGAGGAGCAAGACTTGAGCACGGATGGCCCCCTTAAGACCCTCTGAAAAATACTCCTGAATATGAATGATCCTCTTAAGACAGGGAAGTATGAACTGTCCCAAGGGCCTACTGAAGGAGATTCGCATTTTTTCGGTAAATAGGACCCACTAAACATCTCCATTAAGGACTGTAAGCATAAGGGGAGAACATCCCAACCTCAACACATTTTTAAAGCCGCCTGGGGCACACCCCTAAACCCTAAACCCTAAACCCTAAACCCTAAACCCTAAACCCCAAACCGATGCAAAAGAGGCTCCCAGCCACGTCGCCGACCCCGCCGCTCATCGCGATCGTCTTCCCTCCCAGGGCTCCGCCGTGGGCTTCGCCGTGGGCTGCCCAGCAGCCGGGGGCTGGGCCCTCTTCCTGAGCTGCATCGCCCTAAACCCTAAACCCTAAACCCTAAACCCTAAACCCTAAACCCTAAACCCTAAACCCTAAACCCTAAACCCTACGCATGGCAGCTACAAGGACACTCAGGGTGTGTTGATGTGAGTTTCGACTGGGACCTGGGGAAGTGTTGCTTGCACTCCTCTTTGGCTTCTTGATTTCGGATGAGAAGGTTGGATTTCTTTGCGGCAGCCCACAAAACCTAACTCGAGTGAGGTTCACCCAAAAAACTCGACTCGATGCTGAGACATTGGATTAAAATCCTAAACCCAGTGCTGGTTCTATCTCAGCCCCAAACCAAAACTTGGAGCCTCAGGAAACTGACCCCTTTGTGAACGCGAGCTTGTTGGTATGGACATTATGGACAATTTGCGGCCGAGGGGTAGCCAGTGAAGATAGAAGTTATGGCTTGAAGGCTGGAGGCCGCCACGATCAAAACACGCGCAAGAGCGAAACAACTTAGGCAAAATGACACGATTCTGATACTAATAATAATAATCCTAATAATACTAATAATAATAATACAAAAACACGAAGAATAATTATACAGCCATGTCCAAGTACATCTTGGCAACAAGCATGCAATGATCACCCTGTCGAGTAGGGACATTCTAGGCCTCCCGTCCGGTCTTTATCTTAGCCTACTCTCCTTCTTGTTCGGGGCACCCAAGAAAGGGTCCTGAAAGTTTAGCATCTGGAAGTAGCTCAAAAGGAACCTTATGTACACTCACCAATAACAGTAATATCAACCCGGTTTTCATATGCAAACCCTAAACCCTAAACCCTAAACCCTAAACCCTAAACCCTAAACCCTAAACCCTAAACCCTAAACCCTAAACCCTAAACCCCTAACCCTAAACCCCAAACCACAAACCCTAAACCCTAAACCCTAAACCGTCCCAGGCGCTGGGGCTTCTCCGAGGGCTTGGGCCCCGTCTTGGACTTGGGCCCCTTCGGGGGCTTGGTCCCCTTCGGGGGCTTGGTCGTCGTGGGCTGCGCCCTCCACTGGGACCACGCCTGCTCCGGCTCCTTCTTTCGCAAGGCTTAGGGTTTAGGGTTTAGGGTTAAGGGTTTAGGGTTTCGGGTTTCGGGTTTGGGGTTTAGGGATTAGGGTACTTGAGGCGATAGGAAGGAAGGAAGAATGTGGCGTTGGGCAGGGGCTGAGGGTTCGGAAGTTTTTCGACCACCCAAATATATTACACACGACCTCCGAGACTCCAACCCACCAAACTTCTCGGGCTTAAGGGTTGTTCACAAACCCTATATGAAGCCACGCTGGGTCCTTGCAAGATCTCGCGAAGGCCACGGCCCGGGCGGCAGTCCATCTAGGCCATCGCGGGGAGGCCGACCCCTGTCGCTGGACCTCGGCCATGAAGACTTGACTGTGGGTTTACCCAAACTTCTGTGTAGTACCTTTTTGGGGTAGGATACTGGAATCACCTATAACTAAACCAAACAGGAGCTACATTGGAGCCTTCAGGTAGACTCAGTAGGGACGGGTGGGAGGGTGGGAGGGTGGGAGAGGGTGGGAGGGTGGGGAGGTAGGTAGGTCTCTTGTCCGAAGGCTGCGAAAGCATGCATGCATTCTGTATGTCGTATCAGACTACCTCAGGACTCAGCTGCCAACCTGTACCTGGAGGTTCATCACTGGGGTCCTAAGTGGGAGAAATATAGTTACAAGTGGCTCTTTCCTTATTTCGGGTACTTTAGAACCCTACTTAAAACCCTAAACCCTAAACCTAAACCCTCAACCCCAAACCCTAAACCCTAAACCCTAAACCTTCAAGTGCACACAGAACAAACCCACGGGCGCTGCAGCCGCGGCGCGACGAGCGAGGCCGATTGCGGCGCAGGATCTTGTCTACCTGCGAACGTTGCGAATTGAAGCGCAGGCGCGCCTTATACCTCTAAGGTTCCATAGGTACCTACGTATGGGTATGTTTTGGCCTTAACGTAGTGATTTTGGGGTCGGGGGTTCGTGTGTATGCTCAGGCTTCAGGATTGGAAATCAGGGGTTCCGGCTTGAAGCCCCAAAAAACCTTTCAGGCATTTCGGGCTTGGGCTGATGGAGCTAAAGAGGCTCCCGCCGAGCTTCAGGCCAAGGCTTGGGGGCTTCCGTCGTCCCTGCAAAATTTCGCAAACCTTTTTTTTGCCTAAGCCGGTGCTTTCAGTCAATGTGTCCGCACCTCCGCCCTACAAACCCAAACCCAAATCCCAAAACCCAAAACCTTCAACCCCAAACCCTAAACCACTAATGACAGCAGGC